ATTTCAGTGTGAGAGATTTTTCAGAGATGTATTTGAGAGTGATCTTTAATGAACCTTTTTCATTCTTGAATTATTTCCCTCAAAAAAAAATGCTCTAACATTGCACACTATGCTCAAATACATCCCCCTTTCTTAAGGTCAATCATTTTCTTAATGTACATTTGAAAGACATAGTTACAGATTTAAAAATAAATCCATTGACTATAGTCTGAGTAGAACAAGACAGTCACTGCAATCTCCACAAAAGTGCAGAATTAGAAACCTAGAATCAGTTTAACTGAATTTAACTCCACCAGACTCTCAACAGCATAAACAGGGATGTTGTACACGTGTAACTTACTGACACCCCACCGAGACTGTCCTCCACGTCACTTCAGCTACAAGAAGTGCACTTCTAGAGTCTCATACAGGAAATTATAAATGTTAACAACCACATAAGTATGAAATATGCGAAGTGCAAACTCACAAGGAAATGCTTGGCAGCTTTTTCTTTTGACTTATTGTATCTTTTTTCCTATTCTTCTGCAATTCTTTCCATCCTCTCTTGCCAAATACGCTACAAACTTGCTTTTCAGTCCCAAACACCAAGGGCAGAAAGCCCAGACCAAACATTTCTTTGGAAATTTGTTCTAAAACAGCTAGGTAAGTCTGAGCAAAATAGATTTTGTATGCAGAGTTCTTGGTCTCATTCCTCTCCACACTGGCCATGTGGCTGAGTTCAGCCCCAGGAGCAGCCTCAGTGATTTCCGTGGAGCCACATCCACGCAGGTGGGCTGAGCTATAAACCCAGGCTGAACACGAGGGTTTGTTGCCACTCGCAGAGGTTAGGAAGCAGCTGCCCTCCAGCACCCTTCCCACTGGAACTCAGCACTGAAGGGACAACTCTTCCCATGTTCCTACTTCTGCATTTTCTACAGAAGGTCATACGCAGACCAAAGCATATAGGTTAGGCACCTTTGATAATTTGTCTGACTACTGAACACAACATACTCCAAATAGGTTAAATAAATCACTTTCTTATGTTACTCATAGTTTAAGTGACAAAACATTTACTATTATTTGGGAAACAGATTCTTAGTGACAAATCTTTGGTGAAACAGTGCAAAAGAAGAAAGAAAGAAAACCATAATAACTCTAGAGAGCCAGAAATTGGCACAAGTGTCCTGTTCAACCTGCATCCCCAGGTACACCATGAGGTACACCTCAGCTGGCCCCACACAGAGCAGGGCCAAAACCACAGGAGAAGCCAACCAGCACATAGCAGGGAACTCGGGTGACAAGCCAGCCTCACACACAGGCCAGCCACCAGAGCAGTGCTTTAGCTCAGGCAAAATGGAAGACTCCTCACATGAGTCCCTTAGAATGGAATACACTATAACCTCAGTTATACCCAGAAACTACCCAAAAATACTTTTACTAAGAATGGTAATTGACAACAGTTTCATTTATGTTTTGATCTACCTCATTCACCCATCATCTGTTCTGCAGCTGGCGTCTCAGGAAATGAATAGAAATTTAAATGCAAAAAAATTTAAACATAGGCAACAGTGACAGATAAGGACAAAGAAATTATCTCAAAAACACAGCCATTTATTAAAGCATTTTTACAGACTGGATCAGCCTGAATGTTCTGGAAGAGAGTTCTACAATTGCACAGATTACAAGCAATTGAATTTTGCTTTTTCTATTATTTGTTGTTTATCAAAATTGTTAACTGCTACTTAGAGCAGCTGTATTTCCACGTCACTTAAAATTGCTTCTCCTTTCTAGTAATTTAGTTCCAATGATTCATGTGGTTGCTACAGTGATATCTCACTGAGAAAAAACATTCCATAGGTAGAAGAAAAACTGAAAATGAAACAGCAATGAAGAAGCCTGTTCCATTAAACTCTCATTGCTTAAAGGAGAAAGAATTATTTCACAATGCTATTTGCATATTTAAAAACTACTGCAGGAATGTATGATTATGTACACAGAACTTGCCAGCACAGCTCAGTTCTTATTGTTCAAGGGCTGCTCCAAGGCCCCTCCTCAGCCAACTTCTTCATTTGATGGGAAGTCATTGACACAAACTGCAAACACATTTCCTCGCTAGATCCTTGCTTTGGCCATGTTTTAGGAGAAGGGATCATGACAGAAAAGCATGTGATTTCAGCAAGTATATTTTCAAAGCAAGTTTAGGAAAAACACATGACTACACATTTGCAAAAGTGTGCCTGAACTCACAGCCTTTCCCACTACCTTAAAAATCAGTTTCTAAACATCAAGTCTCCAACTACAAACTGATTTGGCATGTTGAAAGTTTACAAATCTAGTGATGCAATAAGCCATTATTGCTTCAGGTTTTCTAATTCAGAGACTTCTTTATCATCTGGTAGAGGGCGAAAAAAAAAAAACAGTATGCCTTGCTATGAAATAACTCATCATACTTCTGATGTGAACCTTTATAGTCATTATTATCTAATCACATATCAGCACCTCAACAGCTACAATTCACCATCCTTTCACAAGCACTTTAAGCAAGGAAACAGATCTTAGGTGCTGTGATTTGGGGTCCAATTAAATCTCAAAACCAAGAAATATCAATATGAACTTCATCAAAAACAGATAAGCAAGAATAAAAGCCATGTGGCTGAAGCTGCCTGTAGTAGCGTGTTTTGAAAGATTTAAATAGCTTCCCATGAAAACAGGGATTCAATGACTCAGGAACTCTGATTCACCCATGTCCTCCCAGTTATCACCACAACCATAAGAAAGTAGCCTGTGACATTTCTATTCATTACATACCTCCCAACAGTTGTATTTAAGAGCTCTGACAGGTATACTGACAGGAAGGACAGAGGCTACACCCTCCTCCTCAGCAAGGTCAGGAGAAAGCTGCAGCTCAGCTTTGCTACAAGGAACACAGAGCAAGAAGCTGCTTTATGTCCACACTCCCCCCTGGAAGAACATAGGACTTTGTCACAACCTTGCTCTACATTAGTGCCTCTATCATCCCTCAGTAAAACCACTGCAGTAACCTTCATTCAGAAGGTTTCTACTGTTTGGGTTGGGTAATTTATATGAACATTAAGAATAACCAAAATTATAACAAGTATTGATGACTAATAATGAAAGATATGAACCTTTTCAGAAATACTACAGGAATTCTGCCTTGCAATTTTACCCATTTCCTAACAGTTAAAGGTTTACTGGCATCAAGTGATTATGCCATAAGGTTTTCTGCAATTCATTCAAAGATAGTAGTATCAGACTGGGAAAAAGACCATGAGGTACAAGAAGACCCTAACAAAGCATTTTCTCCAGTTTATTTTCCTTGAAGGAAAGGAATCAAGAGAGGCAAAAGAAGATGATACAAAATGAATTCAAATGAACTAGTACGACTTACCTTGGAAAAACAGCAGCACACTTCTGCTCACAAATTTTAGTCACAACTTCTTGTTTGCTTGAGTGTCTTTAGTACTTTAGCAAGTATGAGTAATTAAAATAATGCAACTACTGGTACAGTTTTCTGATTAAATTATGCCAATCTACAACTGCATTGTCACCAAATGGGATGAACCAACACTAAATTCAGTTGTCTCAGAATGTATATACACTAGCAAGCATGTCCAGCTCAGGACATAGTTTTGTGAAAGACCTAAGCCAATGTAAAAGTTGCCTGCAGCCCTGAGGGAGGTCTTGCTCTCCACTGCCTTCCCCTAGCTTTGCTTCTGGCAGTGAAGTTTCTTCTCTCTACTCCCCATAAGCTTTAGGTTTCACACCCACTGAGATGCTGACAGAACTCACTAACCTGGATGGCAGAGAACCATCCAGTCTCTTCCGCCAGGGCACCCAGACACTAAAGGATCCAACAACACACGTCACAGTCACCAAAAAACCCGTGGGAGAAGCAGCCAGTGACAAACTAGCAGCAGAGGCAGAAGCAAAGGAGGGAAGAACAGGAACTCCAACTTCTGCCAAGGGTAAGCCATTCAACCAACCTTCCTTCTCCAACTTCCTCTACATCCCAGATACCACAGGATTGCTAAAGCTGATACAAAAGAGGAGGCGTGAACATACAGCCAGAGAGTAGAGAAAGAGCAGTACTATTTTCCTCAACATCCAGAGCTCACCACAGAGCCACAAGCACTTGAGATATGAGCTTGGCATGGGACAGGAGTGGCACAGCAGTGCCACATCACATCACATCACGGAGATGTTTGCATCTCCATCGTCTAGCAGGGTAATGGCAGGCACAGAAACTGGGTGAATGTAGGCACAGACCAGCCACACATCCCACAGGGAGGCACAATTACGTTGATTAGATACAACGGTGTAAAATACATATATAGAATGGGTAAAAACGTAAGGAAAGACAGGGGAATGTTGCCTGACATAAGCAGAAATAACCCTACAGCAACGATAGACAACCGGTCACTCGACTGGGGAAAAACAAAGGAGTGCGTGCCTTGCTCTGACAACAGGAAGTAAGACGATACTGAGCTTGTTTGCTACTGGCACCCCAACAGTGGCCACACCGAATACGGACACACAACAGAACGTAGGCAGGAGACACTGGGAAGTGAAATGTGAGCACAACTCTGAAGAACGGAAGACGGACCACCGAAGAGTTCACCCTCCGAGCCTGAGTCTCAGCTGACATTGCCTCGGCTGGCAAGCACTGCCCGCACCAGCCGCCCGCCACCACTCACCCCATCTCCTCCAAGGCGTGACCCCGCGGCGCTCACTGCCCAGCACTGCCCAGCGCTGCCCCCGCCCGGAGCCCGCACCCGCCCGCCCGGCCCCAGCACCGCACACGCTGCCTCCCTTCCCCCCAGAGCCCCCAGGCCCGGCAGGACCCACACAGCCCCTGCCCGCCCCTCCGCTCAAGGCCGGCTGCCCACAGCTCGCCAGCACCTGTCAGCCCCAGCGCCCCACAGCCCGGCCCGCCCCGCACACAGCCGGCCCCGCTTCCTGTCCCACGGCACGACCCCGGCCCGGCCCCTTCTCGGCGGCACCTGAAGCGCGGCGAGTCCTTCAGACACTCCTCGAAGTCCACGGTCACCTTCATGGTGGCGGGGCGCGCCGCTGCCTCCGCTGCTGCGGCTGCTGGCGGTGGTGGCGAGGCGAGACCGGGCCAGGGCCGGCGGACGGGGCGGGGC